TTCTGCTGTCTGAAATTATTTATATGAAAAGTTCCACAAAGTTAATTATACATTTATTAACTGATCTTTGTTGAAAAAAACCAAGTTACATTAAATAAGGCCTCTCTCAGAAAAGTGGGCATAGTTATACAGCATGGTATATGATAATCAATACTCCTTAAAACAGTGGGTTGGCAAGCAGGGGTGATTTTGCTTCCAAGGGATACTTGGCAATGTCTGGAGACATTTTTGGTTGTCACAACTTGGGGAGAAAGAGTGTAGGGTGCTACTGGCTTCTCATGGGTAGAGGCCAGGGATGCTGTTAAACATCCTACAATGCACAGGACAGCTCCCCATTACAAAGAATTTTCTGGCCCACAACATCAGCAGTGCCCAGGTTGAGAATCCTTGCCTTAAAATAACGGGCATGAAGGCCAAGTTGACAGGTGGCATACAGACAGCCACCGTCTGACTTCAGCCACCACACCGCGATGAAAAGCAATGAAAGCTCCACACGTTCATGGACCAGGGGACCGTAAGGACCCTTGCCAAGAGTGGCTACGTGAGGAGGTGGTGGCATAATTTCAGGAGCACCAAGACAGGCACTTTGCCTCCCCAATTACTTCCAACACCCACTCGTCTGTGCTTGATATGCTCTCGTGGGGAACACGGCCTTTCATTCCATAATGAGGCTTAAAGTGCAAAGACCCCTGGAAGAGAGAACAGGGTGACCTACATTCATATTCAAGAGAAAGTGACTGATGACAGATTGGTTTTCCCCTGAGACCATTTTTCACACAGTGAAAGGCTCTGAACAGCTGAAAACGGAGGAGAGGCAGAGAGGGCAGCAGGCTCTGATGGGGCAGGACGGGTGAAGACACGAGCCAGAGGGGCACTGAGATGAGTGCCACCTGCTCTAGTGACGCTTTCCTCCTGAGCCCATGGGGAGGGAAGGATGCAGAGGAAAAAAGAAGTCACATTCTTGGCCATGGAGAAGAAGATTATAGGCAAGTTCAGCTCAGGTGAAAAAACTCCAGGAATGCTTGAAAGAATGGTAGGGACCCACGCAGTGCTACCCCCGCAGCTGGGGCAGGAAACAAGCGTCCCTGCCAACTGTGTGATCACGGTGAACCCCAAACTGTTCCGGGTGACATCCCCCACCTGACACCTAGCACAGTCCTTGACACATAGTAAAGTTAAATGTTCAGGCAGTGCTTGTGTTGAATGGACACTATTCCAAATGAAGAGCCATCAGATTCCTAAAGTGCTCTCTCTAGGAATGGTTTTCCTTGACACCTTTGCTGATGCTATTTCCCTCCATTTGGGAGGGAATCTCATTTTATCTTGCAAAGCCAGTTTGTTTTCTATGTAAATTCCTGATGTTGGCCTTTCTTTTTTTTTATTTATTTATGTATTTTTTCCCACCTCTACTCTGGAGGAATCCCCTTTTTTCTTGTAAGCAAGCACAGGGCCTCCAAGTAGATTCATCTGGTGCTTACCATATTGTCTATGTATCTTTCATAATGGGCTTACTTCTCAGAAAAGATTTGACGGAGGCTTGCAAGTTCATGACAAAAATAATATAATATAGTTTTTAAAATAATTTAAAATGGAGGTCAGAAATAATTTAGGAAGAAAAAGATCACTGTACCAAGAAGCTGAGGAAAAGCAGTTACCAGGAATTGCTGGAGGCCAAGGTAAAAAGATAAACAGACAAGGCATATACAGAGAGTTCTCGATGTCTCATAAAAGAAAAGCCACAATTCCATGAGGTCAGAATTATTTTTTCTGACATTAAATTCTAGGAGGAATTTGTTCCTGGCGTTTCATGTGTGCTGCCCAAGTTGTCATCTCATGTGCTTATCTCAAGAATCAGACTTCTTGAGAACAAAGACTACATCTCCGACTACATTTGCCTGACAACAACCTACATGACATTGTACGTGCTCAAATATTTGCTAATAGATTGGGGACCTATAGTTTTCTTGCCAATCTGGATATTCCAGTGTATCTCAAGGTTCCAAGATTATCAGAGTAAGAGATTCATCAAATCTCTTAGCAGGAAGGACTCTCCGACCATTTGCTTCTGCCCTAGATCCCCAGCCCTGGGCAATCACGATGAGATCTTAAAGATCCTCTCACCCCAGCACCCCTGGAGTGGGTTTGGAGTGCAGGACTGGAAGGTCCAGCTGGCCCCATCTTCATGCTTCTCTCTCCCTTCCCCTATGGGTTCATTCTTTGTTTAGTCCTTTTGTCTGTGTTTCTGTCCCAACCACAGATTTTCCACTCCTTTGAGCATTAGGGCTTTGCCTTATTCACCGTTGATTTGATTCCCTGTGATAACTAGCACAGTGCTTTGCACAAACAGACTGCCTTTTTTTTTTTATTAATGTAAGGAAATTGACTTGGAAAGACGTTCCAGAGCAGGCCTTTTCATTATTCTATCCTGCTTCTGTCTGACAAAGCTTCAAGCATAGAAGTGTACCCTGAAGCGAAGGAGACCAAGGAGCCTTCCTCCACCACACAAGCAGTCCAGAAAGGTTAAAACGCAGGTTACTAAAGGAGTTGAAGACTCAAGGGTGGGAAGACATTATATTCTCTCTCTTTTGTCTCCAAACGTGGCCTAAAAGTACACTGGGCAACACTTCAGCACAAAAGTTCTTTGCATAAGTGCTTAGCAGGTGCTCAGCAAATTTCTGTTATAATAAAGTCATAGCATAGCTACTTTAAACATAGTAGATACTCAAGAAATACCTGTTATATTGAAAAAGCCATGGCATATCACTTTTGCACATAGTAAGTGCTCAGTAATATCTATTCAATTAGAAAGTTCGTAGTGTATCTTCTTTGCATACAGTAGGTGCTCAACAAATATCTTTTACATTAAGGTGACTGTAAGACACATAGTAGCCTCCCAGTAAATTGATATTAAATAGAATAGTAGCAGATACCTGCTCCTTAGAGAACACTGGCGAGGTGACATTAATCAAAACCCAGGCACAGGGCCGGGCGCTGTGGCTCACGCCTGTAATCCTAGCTCTTGGGAGGCCGAGGCGGGCGGATTGCTCAAGGTCAGGAGTTCAAAACCAGCCTGAGCAAGAGCGAGACCCCGTCTCTACTATAAATAGAAAGAAATTAATTGGCCAACTTATATATAAAAAAATTAGCCGGGCATAGTGGCGCATGCCTGTAGTCCCAGCTACTCGGGAGGCTGAGGCAGAAGGATCACTGGAGCCCAGGAGTTTGAGGTTGCTGTGAGCTAGGCTGACGCCACGGCACTCACTCTAGCCTGGACAACAAAGCGAGACTCTGTCTCAAAAAAAAAAAAAACCCAGGCACAGATCCATGAATGGAAATGCGGGAGAGGCACGTGATGGTGGGAAGTGGCGGTGGGCACCGCGCTCATTCAGGACGCAGCGAACTCACTTCTGGCTCCCGGGTATTGATTAGCCGATTGGAATTCATTCCCCACCCAGGGGCGGGAAACGGCCGCTGCCTCCAATCGTCACTTCAGGGCTGCACCTGGAACTCCCGCCACGGCCCCTCCCGGGGCATCCGCCCACCGGGCTGCTCCTCCCGAGAGTAGCCGGCAGAACAAAAGCAAAAGCCAGCCGGGCTTCCGATTGCTTCTCCGATGGAGAGCGACCCGGGAAGAGGCTGGGGGAGCTGGCCCGGGACCAAGCGGTGATGTCAAACCCGAGCCGCTGCCCTCAGCCGCCCGCCCTCTCCGACAGATTCGGGCTCGGATCGCTGAGCAGGGGAAAGCGGCCGGGCTCCCTCCGTCCCCTCTTCCCGGGGCCACCGAACCGCAGAGGGGGCGCCTCGGTCGGGTGGGGCGGGGGGGACAGCGCTATTTTAACCCTTGAAAGAGGAGAAGAGGAGGCTGGAGGGGAGCATTATAAGGGACTGAGGCAGACCCCCAAACCGGGATCCGGATCTGAACTCGCAGTGCGACCCCAAACGCGCGGGACTGTCCCCGGGGATGGGGGCCCCTCGCGGCGCCGGTCCTTACGTCCCCTTCCCCTTACCCGCAGGGTAGCTCAGCAGCCACCTTCCCATCCAAGCCCGCGACCCAGGACGACACCGACACCGGTGCGCACAGTCCGCCCAGGAAAAGGGCACCGAGGGCGGCCGGGGTGGGTCCCGCGGGAGACACCCCGCCGCTCCGGAGCTGGCCAGTTTGGCATCTGCCTGCCTCGGGGGTTGTCGTTAAGGGGAGGCGGGGTTGCAGAGCGAGCGGGAAGTGTCATTTCTTCCCTTCTCCCCGCTGCTCCGGAGCCCGGCGAACTCCGAGGGGCGCGGGCGGCGGCGGCGGGCGGAGGGGAGCCACTTACCCGCGGCGGAGCCCGAGCGCGCGGCGGCCCGGGCGCGAGCTGGGCCTTTGTCTGCGGCCGCGGCGCCGGCGCGCTCGGCCAGGCCGGTCCCAGCCCCGGCGCGCGGCGAGCTCCCGCGGCGCCCGACAGCCCGGCTGGCGGCTCCCGCTCGGGCTCGGGCTCGGGCTCCGGCCCCCGCCTCGCCGCGCGGCTCCGCCCGCCGCGGCCCGCCCCGCCCGCCGCCCCACTGCTGCGCGCGGCGCGGAGCGGGCTCCTGGGCGGCCGCCTCCGCGCGCGCCCCGCTCCTCCCTCCCGCAGCCTCCCGGCCGCGCTGTTCGGGTCGAGTGCGCGCGGCGGAGCCGGGCTCCTCCGCCCCAGCCCTCAGGGGACAAGCTCACCTGGGGAGCCGGCCCGTCCGGGCCAGGCGCTCTCGGGGCCCTCCATCACTTAGAAGCGCGTCCCCACTCCCGCCCCGGGGAAGGGCCCCGTCAGGCTCCGCCCGGGAGCGGAGGGAGGCGGGAAGCGGGGTCCACCTGAGCCTCGGCCGAAACCCGGCCTCGCCAGCCCGACGCTGCTGCAGCGGCCCTGGGCAGGGGCTGGCGAGGGGGCGGAGGGCGAAGAAGGTGCCGGCGGGGAGCAGCGGCTCCGGGGCGGGGGACGCCCGCGTCGGCGTGAGGGGGCGCGGGGCGCACGTGCGCCGGTCCTGAGCCGGCCTGGGAGTGGAAGCGGGCAGGCACCTGGGCTGTGAATCTGTGCTCATTTGCACAGCCGGCCGGAATAAAACTAACAGAAGGTAACTAACACTTTGGGAGCCAGAGAAAAGGGACGGGAGAAGCCAGCAGCCCCACAACATTGGTAATAACTGGTGTTTATGTGGTGCCTTCCAGCAAGCCCAATGCAGTTGGCACCAATTAGGTGCGTCACTGAATGCATGTGCGTCCCTCTGGAATGGCTGAGGAGCTGCTTTCTAGCCAGAAAACAATGTGATGACCTAAAGATTGTATAACGGGGTCACTAGTGGCTTTAGCTGTCCAGGAGTCCCCCACCCGCCTTCTCCCTGCTCGGTAAAAAAACCACATCCACACTTCATGGGGTCTGCTGTGTACTACGGTTATTTCTGCTTCATCCCCCAGAGCCTAGGACAATTCCGGGTGCCTAACAGGTGCTTAATAATTGTTCAAAGAATAAATGTGTATATCATATAACTGCTAAATTGCAACGTGGGCAACTGTAAAAATCGTGGGATCATATTGGAAAATGCATTAAGTGGTTACCACAATGATAGTCAATGAAGGGTAAAGAATGTCAGCTGTAATTATTACATAGATGCAATTGCTATTAATCATATGTACGGAGGTGGTAGGTTTAGAATCGTATAATAAACGAGAGACAAGTTATCACAACCCTAAAAGAATAATCAGAGATCAGGAAGGAGTGTGTAACAAGCAAATGTGTATAATCTGTGATAAGACATTCCAACGTGTCTTCCCCAAAGAGAACATTTTAACATTTTGCTTCCTTAATTTTCATTACAAATAAGTATTATCAATTCAGTGAGGAGGCATAAATATGAAATGTTCTGTGTTGATTTATTCATTTTTTTTTATAACATCTCTTCTAGGAAGGAAGGATAAGAGGCCCCAGGGATGCTCATTTTATCCAAAAGAAACAGGACACATGTCCTGCCACACGAAGCCCACCAGTGGCAGAGCAAGGATCTGGTGGGTCCCAATGAAGAGACCGACCCAGGACAGCACCAGGAAAGCTCAGAGTCTCCTTCCTCAGTGTTTTATAATAGATTGTTGTCGTAGGTCTGGAAACTGCTCTTGGGAGCAATGTGCTTGTCCACATGAGATAGTTTATCTCTTCTATTTGGCAAGTGAGAAAATGTAATTTTCTCTGTGTGATGAGTATGGGTGAGTGGTTCATGCATAGTGAGTTTCCATCCTCCAAATTGTGGGACAAGAGACTGTGAAGTATGCATTTTAACAAGTGTCCATTACCTTACAATGCCAGGGGAATGAATAGGCGCTGGACATCTATATGGGTGCTCTCCACTGCGTTCATGTCAGCTGGTGTCATTCTTCTATGGATTCTGCTGTCAGAGATTGAGCTATTTCTTATTTTTACCCCAGAGGGAAGATGCCTAAAGACACAGCTGGCATGGTAGGTGTCAATCAGCAGAAAATAACTCCATAGACCTCAGGAATTAGGAAGTTCGCCAGGTCATTCTGATTTATGACTTCTTTTTCTTGGGGGGGGGTGCCTAAAATGTACTAGCATTTCCCCACTGCCTGCGACTGGACACCAGATGCTGTAACTGAGCCAGTGGTCCCAACATCTGCAGTGGCCCTGGAAGATATGGGGTCCATCGAGCAGGAAAGTACCCTGTCTGCCTTGCTTAGGGTATTTAGATATAATCTTTTATAATATCTTGCTGGCTAAACTCATCTCTGATACCCATTTTTGACTCATGCTTAGGTAGAAGAGGGGAGGCAACTTAGATTATTTAATACTGTTTTCCCTCATCTCACCCCTTCTGCTCCCAGGAGGAGATGGCATCAGGGCCAATGACTTTGCATGTGGCCTCTCTTCCAGGGGCAAGCACTGGCCGTGTTTGAGGAACCCCCTGGACCATGACTTCTAGATGATGGAGCTCCCGCAGCAGCCAGGTGCCTTTGGGGGGGAGTCTATTTATCTAATTCATTCATTCTCTCTCTCTGTCTCTCCCCCCTCCCCCCTTTTTTTCCCTCCCTTTCTTCTTATAGGTCTAGCCTGTCTATCTCGGAAGATGAGACAGGCCTGTAGATATTCTCACAGTCTGGGACCTGAGGCCTAGAGATTAGAGGTCGCACTGTCTTCATTCTCACTTCAGGCTGCTCTGGAAATACCTTTCTTGGCTAGCATAGAGATAAGATTCAAGATGCAGGCACAGAATTGGGGAAAGGAAGAAACAGGCTATTTGGTTTGCTTGGCTCTAGCTATAGGCTAGTGATTCCGAACCTGCACTCTTGCTAGAATCACCTATGAAATCTTTCAGTGCACTGAGAAAATGAGTAGATGACTACAGTGGCCACTTACCAACATCTGCCCTGTTTATCATATTCTGCCTTCTGCCCTTGTCTTAGTCCCTTTGTGCTGCTCTAACAAACTACCTGAGACTGGGTAATTTATAAAAAAATAAATTTATATTTCTCACAGTTCTGGAGTCTGGGAGTCCAAGATCAAGGCACCAGCAGGTTTGGTTGCCTGGTGAGGGCTGCTCTCTGCTCCCAAGATGGTGCCTTGGGGCTGCAGCCTCGGGAGGAGAAGAAGGCTGGGTCCTCACATGGCAGAAGGCAGAAGGGCAAGAAGGTCAAACATCGCCTGAAGCCTCGTTTATAAGAGCCTGGATCTCATTCACTGGGGAGGGAGCCCTCATGACCTAATCACCTCTTAAAGGCCTCATTTAAGAGGCCATTAATACCATCACCTTGGCCATTAAGTTTCAACACCTGAATTTTGGAGGGGAAACATTCAAACCATAGCACTCCTCAAGCCATAAAGAAACCATCCTTGCTCTATGTAAACACCCTCCACTGTGTACAACATCTCATTCCCCTCTCATTTATGTAAGGACATCATTCTATAAATGCTCCGCTCTCTTTTGGACCACGAGTTTTTCCTGACTGCTGGGTCACAGCAGCAGCTTTCAAACATGGTTTAAGGTCTCCTATCTTTAAAAAAAAAATACTCTTTTGACTCCATTCTCCTCCAGCTTCTGCCCCAACTCTCTTCTCTCTCTCTCTTTTTTTTTTTTATTACTTTTCTTAGAGATGAGGTCTTGCTCTCTTGCCCATACTGGAGTGCAGTGATGTGATCATAGCTCATTGTAACCTCCAACTCCCAGGCTCAAGTGATCCTCCTGCCTTAGCCTCCTGAGTAGGTAGGACTACAGGTGAGGTAGAGATGGGGTTTCATTCTTGCTCAGGCTGGTCTTGAACTCCTAACCTCAAGCAATCCTTCCGCCTCAGCTTCCCAAAGTGCTAGGATTATAGGCGTGAGCCACCACACCCAGCCTTTCTTCTCCCCTTTATTACAAAACCTGGCAGAGCAGAACTTGCCTCTCCTCCCTGTGTCTACTTCCTTTCCTCCCATTTTCTCTTTAACCTGTTCCAATCATCACTCCATGGAAACCACTCTGGTCAAGATCATCAGAGAACTCCATGTTTTTAAGTCTAATCATCAGTTCTCAGGCTTTGTCTTACTTGACCTATCTAGCATTCAACATAGTTCATCACTCCTTTCTTCCTGAAATACTTTTCTATCCATGTGATTCCCAAGACACTTCTGATTTTCATTCAACCTTGATGGCCCTTCAGGGAACAATAAATGCTAGCTACTCAAGACAACACAGCAAAGAGCATACAGAATGGAAAAGTACTAAAGCCATTTCCACCAAATTCAGGAACAAGACAGATGCTTGCTATCACCGCTATTATTAACACTGTTTTAGAGACTAAAATAAAGCAGGAAGACATGAAAATGAAATAGTAGATATGAGTGTTGAAAAGGGAAAAAGTCTTTATTTGTAGATACTATAATTGTACAACTAACAACCTTAAGACTCCGGTTCTTTTATACATTAGATTTTAGAATTAATAATTCTAAAACTATTAGAATGAATAAAACAATGTGGTAATATGGCTAGAAATAATATAGAAAGAATCGATAAAACCAAAAGCTGGTGTTTTTTTTAAAAAAAGAACAATAAAATATGTAAGCTCCTTAGAAGCCTGATTGAGGAAAAAAAGAGAGAGAAAGAAAAAAATAAGCAATATTATCAATTTTTAAAAAGGTGATACAAGCATTGATTCAGAAGATATTCTAAAAAATATCAAGGAAAATTGAATGCAATTTCCTAGGAAGACATTTAAGGCAGTTGTTTCTATTTCTCATCAGACACAGTCTCTGCTTTCACAGAGCTCACAGTCTGATGAGGGATATAGATATTACATATACAAGTGACTGATTTTCCTTGTATGAAAGGTCTAACTGGGAGACCTAATCTCATCTGGGGGGGCAGGAAGCCTCCATGAGAGAGTAGAAATTAAGTTGGGTGGGAACAGAGCAAGGGAGGCTCAAGCACAGGGAACACAGTGAGGAAACACCCAGGAAAAGGTCAGAGCATCTGAAAGTATCCCACAGGCTAAAGGGCAGGGCAGGTGGCCAGGACAGCAGAGGATAGAGAGGCAGGGCACGAACTGTGCAAGGACATGTAGCCCATGGCAAGGATTTTGACCTTTGTCCTGAGTGTCCTGGGAAGCCCTTTCAGCATTTTGAGCAGGGAAGAGGTGAGTCCTTGCTGTGTGCATTACTTCCTGTGTAAGGTCTGCAAAGGTTGTAACCTCATAGCAAGGTGGCATTGTCCAGGATCGCTTGTCACTAGTGTCATTCAGTGATACCAGCCACTAATTCCCTCCTCTTCTCCATAACCCCCAAAAGTGCTCAATATCTTACAGGTTTCAGTGGGAATTCTGTGCCTTCAAGGCAAATTGACACAAGCGACTGGTATCTAGTAGTTTGGGGCGTATCTTGACTTTCACTTGATTCCCGCAGGCTGGGCAGACCTTTCAGCCTAACTTCCCAGAAGTTTCTCAACTGGCTTGGACCATCCCAGCATTCTCTTCTTCCATTTCAACCTATGATAGATAAGACCTTGCCAAAATTCTAACTACGTGTTCCCTACCCTGAGTCCTCACCTCACCCAGTCCTGTGTTTTTCAAACTACAGATCATAACCTATTATGGGCTGTGAAATCAGCTAAGCAGATCATGCCAGCATTCCTGAAACAATGAAATAGAATAGAATAGAAACTAGCAGAGTTCATTGTAAGTGGTAAGAATATCACTTTATGACATTTTAATTTCAGATAAATCCGCTAGGGTGTGGATGTATGTGTGTGTGTGCACATACCATAGGTTTCACCATTAAATGGATATCTTAATTATGAGTCATGATCAAAAACAGCTTGAGATTCACCACCCTATTTCCTCCCCTTATCTGCTCTGTGTAGAAACGTGAGCTTACTGACTTACTGAGTCTTCTGTCTCACCTCAATTCATTTCTCCAAGTTGTTTTTATTCATCTCCTGACCTGTTAAAATACCCTGTTCCTGTCATACAAATAACCCACTGTTATTAGACTATATTTAAATTTTTCCCCTAATCATGATGTTTGAGTTTTTCCTCATCATGAATGGTGGCTCAGGCTTAGTAAACTGTCCCATGGGCTGGACGCAGTGGTTCTTGCTGAGGTGGGAGGATTGCTCAAGGTCAGGAGTTCAAAACCAGCCTGAGCAAGAGTGAGACCCCGTCTCTACTAAAAATAGAAAGAAATTGAGTGTCCAACTAAAAATATATAGAAAAAATAAATTAGCCAGGCATGGTGGCACATGCCTGTAGTCCCAGCTACTAGGGAGGCTGAGACAGGAGGATTGCTTGACCCCAGGAGTTGGAGGGTGCTGTGAGCTAGGAGGATGCCACAGCACTCTAGCCCAGGCAATAGAGCGAGACTCTGTCTCAAAAAAAAAAAAAAAGTGTCCCATGGTTTGATGAATAAATAACTCGTACCCACAAGGACATAAAACTCATTGCCTGTGTCTTGTTGGTACCTAGTTGAGCTAACCAGCCTCAGAGGGGCTGGTTAGCCACTTCATCCTTCAATTCTAAAAGCCTTCATGAAGTATACATTATTGTTCTAGTTTCTCCAACAACATTATGCCATGCTAGTACAGACCCTGGCATGCAAGAGCCTAGAAGACAATTGATCTAATATTGGCCCTAGTCAATCAATTATCAATGCTTACTATTAATACATGATGCTTAGAGCAGTGTTCTGTGTTTACACCCTTGATGGTTATAACCCACTGGACAAAGACTGTCAGTTGGAACTTTTAAAACTTGGTCTGTTTGTTCTCTTCCTGTGCCATCTTCCCTCCCCACCCCCAGGTCAGCATGTTCATGGCCCCAGCATTTCTAAACATGGATGTGGATTTGACAGATAAGGAAAACTGTCTCTTGCCATCTCCATCAACACTCAGTAAATGTGGAATTGGATCACTATCTCCAACCACCCCTCAACTCTCCTGATGCCGGCGAGAAATGCACTGCTATAATTGCCAAAATGAGCACCACATGGTTTTGTTGTTGTTGTTTACATGAACTAAAAAACCTAAAGGGACATTTAAGAGTTTGTTTCTAAGTGCTGAGATAATTTTTGCTTCAAAAATCGAAAATTGGCCAGGCATGGTAGCTCACGCCTGTAATCCTAGCACTCTGGGAGGCCAAGGTGGACGGATTGCTCAAGGTCAGGAGTTCGAAACCAGCCTGAGCAAGAGCGAGACCCCATCTTTACTATAAATAGAAAGAAATTAATTGGCCAATTAATATATATAGAAAAATTAGCCAGGCATGGTGACGCATGCCTGTAGTCCCAGCTACTCAGGAGGCTGAGGCAGGAGGATCGCTTGAGCCCAGGAGTTTGAGGTTGCTGTGAGCTAAGCTAAGCTGATGCCACGGCATTCACTCTAGCCTGGGCAACAGAGTGAGACTCTGTCTCAAAAAAAAAAAATTGAAAATTGTTTCTGGCCCTGTAGAGAACACCGTCTTAAAATGACTAGATAATTTGGAAGAAACTCTAGTGTCTGTGACCCTTACCATACCTCCAAGCTGGCCTCAGTCTGTGCATTAGAAATTTTACTAGTAATTTCTTATGATTAGCCTAGCTTATGTGAGTAATTTTTATGGAAAAAAAATTTGTCCCTGAGTAGGTTAAATATAAATGTGTTTTTAATAGTTTTAATATAAATAACACACAAGTCTTTAGTGAAAGCATAATGAATTCCAGTTATTTCACTAGAGCAATCAGTCAACTAGCCAAGATCAGAAGACTCAGCTAACTCAAGAATATAACAACCTAAAATCTTTTAGGAAGTGCCATTACTTTGGGGAAAGAATTTAGATAAATCTGAGTCTACATAGAAGCTAGTGGTGGCCAGGAAATGTGTGACCCAAGAAAGAAATCAAGAAATGATGAATTTATTAGAAGCATTTACTCATGTTAGTCACCATCACTTATTTTTGTTTGTTTTACAGAATGCTCTAGTGTGTCAGTTACTTGCTGCCTATTGGTTAGTGGGATCGTGCTTGAAGTCTTCAAGAAAGTATGAATTACAATTTACCCTTGAACAACTTAGGGGTTAGGGGATCTGACCCTCATGAAGTCAAAAAATCTACATATAACTTGACTCCCCCAAAACTTAACTACTTATTGCTACTACAAATAGGCAATAACACATATTTTCTATGTTATATGTATTATACACTGTATTCTTACAATAAAGTAAGCTAGAGAAAAGAAAATGTTAAGAAAAATCATAAGGAAGAGAAAATATATTTACTGTTCATTTAGTGGAAGTGGATGGATCCTTCATCTTCACGGTCTTCATGTTGAGTGGGCTGAGGAGGAGGAAGAAGAGAAGGGATTGGTCTTGCTGTCTCAGGGGTGGCAGAGGTAGAAGAAAATCTATGTGTAAGTGGACCCACTCAGTTCAAACCTGTGTTGTTCAAGGGTGAGCTATACTTCAGTGTCATTTACTAGGAGGTGGCCAGCCTCGGGAAATCATTTCACAGAATAACAGTTCTCAGGAAGGTCCAGGTTCTAAAGCAAAGTAACTAATGATCATCTTTCTGTTTAGAATTACAAGTGGGACTTATTTATGAATTGTTAATACCCATTCCCCAGTTTGGTTTTATTTTCTGGAAGAAAATCTATTTATGCTTATTTATAGTTATGCCTGATTTATGCCCTGTCGATTAAAGAAAGGGACTTTGTAAAAGAAAAAGAATAATAAAAGGCAATTTGCAAGATTAAAAAAATATGAAACTATAAAGCACTCTGCTAAATTTTGGTACATCAGTCTCAGTTTAGAATTATCCTCAGTGTTTTATTAAATAAGGACAGCTGCTGTCCAATTCTGGCAAAGATGAAGAAAGTCTCTGCCTAATATCGGCAGATGTGGTTGATAATAATAGACTTCTCCTTAGCTGTCACAGAGTTGCTTTCCCCTAACTCCAAAGGAACCTAGCTGACAAGAAAAACAATGTTCCAATTAAAATGTGCACAAAGTCTGTGATGGATTAAGTTGGTGCCAAAGACACTTAGGAAATTCAATTGAGGAGGATCAAGGCTTTGATTATGCTTGCTTGAATCTTCAAGAGGAAGACAGGCAAAAAAATCCATGCAATGACAATTTAGCATGATTAAAGAGCACTGGATTGAGGGTCTGGTATGCAGCATTCTACCGCTAACTAGCTATGTGACATTCAGTGGGGTGCTTCCCCTCTCTGGGTTGTGGTTTTCTCATCTGCAAAATGGGGGTGCTCCCCTGCTGTATCAGACATCTCTTATGCATCACCTCAGATCCTGTGGCCTCACCTTATTTGAGCTGGCCACTTCAGGGACTGTCCTTACTCAGGTACACCCAACAGAACCTCAACTCTTAGTCATGCTGTGTACCTCTAACCTCCTGCTCTGGGGCTCACCTGTTGCTTTTGAAGTATGAGATGCACAAGACTCAGTGGGCACCCTTACATATAATGGAAGGGTGAAGTTTTAACCAGTGAGCTCTGGAGCCAGCAGATAAATTCTTTTCATCTTCTCCCTGGACACAGATTGTCTTGAGATACAAGAAGCTCTGGCAAGATTAGGCAATCAGTGGAGCTCAATACCAAGTGCTGGCTGGCTCCTTAATATGCTTGTGTCTTTTCTCTCCTCACTTCCCTGCCCTGGTCCCCTTTCCCCTCACTACTGCTCTCCTGGCATTGACTACACTCCCTACTAATATAGAAAAGATGAGCTTTTATCTTAGGATCTGCTTCAGGGGATTCCAGGGTAAGATACCAAGATAAACTCTGTTCATCATGTCCTAAAGATTGCTGGAGATACTCAGCCCCCAAGCCCACCCACCCCACCACGAGGACCACAAAGCAGAAATCAAATTCTTTGTCTTATATAATGTCTTTTCATGTAAGGTTCATTTAAAACAAACAAAAGTTATGATGTTAAAACACAGTTAAGCCGGGCGCGGTGGCTCACGCCTGTAATCCTAGCTCTCTGGGAGGCTGAGGCGGGCGGATTGCTCGAGGTCAGGAGTTCGAAACCAGCCTGAGCAAGAGCGAGACCCCGTCTCTACTATAAATAGAAAGAAATTAATTGGCCAACTAATATATATATAAAATTAACCAGGCATGGTGGCGCATGCCTGTAGTCCCAGCTACTCGGGAGGCTGAGGCAGCAGGATTGCTTGAGCCCAGGAGTTTGAGGTTGCTGTGAGCTAGGCTGACGCCACGGCACTCACTCTAGCCTGGGCAACAAAGCGAGACTCTGTCTCAAAAAAAAAAAAAAAAAAACACAGTTAAAAGCTCTTGGAGTAGGTAATATTGGGGCAAGTTTGGGAAAAGCCATCACAGAGGAGAAAGTGGGTTTCTGATGCCTGAGGCATCTCTCTCTCTCTCTCTACACACACACACACACACACACACACACCAGGAGGGTAGCTGGACCCTGAGCTGGAGATACAGGGAATCTGTGTTTGTGCTTGATGTTCCCCTGAAGCAAGTCAAATGGCAAGACGATCAAGGAGTGAATTGAAAACTACCGATTGCAGCAACTCTCTCCAATGTCCATGCAAACCCTACTCTCCCCCTTTTTCCTAATAAAACAACACTGATTTGTTCAGGTTGCGGTCCCCTGAACTCAGGAGGTTAACACTTTTCCAGACCTCCAGAGGATAAATCATGATTGGCTTCAAGCCTGATATGTGACCCAGTTCTGGCTAATGAAAGCTAGTAGGAGGCCTGCTAAAGAGACCTCCCTTCTAGAATAAAAAAAAAAAAAAAAAAAATGCAAAGAGGGAGAGGTTGCCTGGTTCTTTCTTTCTTGAATGTGGGTATGACGCCTAGTGCTACAGCAGCCACATGGTGATCTTGAGGTAACAAGCATGAAGGAAAAGCAAAGAGAATCTCAGAGATGCTGGGTCTAGCATCAGTGTGCTACCAAACCGATTTCGGCAGCTGTGTGTTGTCTTGTGTGTGAGAAAAATACATCCTTATTTCAGTTATTGTCAGAAGGGTTTTCTGTTACTTATAGCCAAAATCATTCCTGAGCTTAGGAAGATGTGGTAGAGAACCAGGAGGACAAACAAGAAAAAGATTCAGAAGTCAAAGAAATAGAGTTTTTGAGGAAGAAGGAGTCGCTGACAGTACAAATGCTACAGAGAAGTAACAAAAATAGAGAGGGGTAGCTTTAAGATAAATATTGTTCCTAGAGACAAAGACATTTTGCAATGATAAGAGGGTCAATACATCACAAAGACATAACAATGACTTGAAAAAACTATAAACCAACTATACCTAACCAACTTATATAGAACACCCCACCTAATGACAGCAGAATACACATCCCTCTCAAGTGCACATGGAACTTTCTCCAGGATAGACCACGTTAGGTTACCAATAAGTTTCAATAAATTTAAAAAGATTGAAATCAGACAATCTACAACCACAATGGACTGAAGCTAGAACTCAATAACGGAAGGAAAATGGGAACATTCACAAATATTTGGAAATTACATACTCAAAGAAGAAATCACAAGGGAAATTAGAAAATATTTTAAGATGAATCAAAATTACTATACAAATACAAAGATTTATGGGATGCTGTTAAAGCTGTGCTCAGAGGGAAATTGATAGCAAATTAATAACCTAACCTTCCACCTTAACAAATTAGAAAAACAAAAGCAAACTAAGTTAAAAATAAGTGGAAGGAAGAAAATTATAAAGATAAGAGCAGAGATAAATCAAATAGACAATAGAAAAACAATAGAAAGAACAAATGAAAATGAAAGTTGGTTTTCAGAAAAGATCAAAATTGACAAATCTTTAGCTAGACTAAGAAACAGAGAAGACTCAAATTACTAAAATAAAGAATGAAGGTTGACATTACTACCAATCTTACAGAAATAAGGGTTAGAATACTGTAGTTATTAATAATTATTGTAATATAATCTTGTCTCAGCATCTATTTTAAACATAAGTTTAACTTTCTGCTACCAGAAGTAGTGCTTAGTCACCTTTGACACAATTCCCAGTTCTCCATCTCCTTTCAATTCTTCAATGTGGTAAATCCAGATATCTACTTTGTATTTAATACAACCACCTCCTGGTGACCACCTCCCTATGGAACAGCTAGATACAACCTAC